CCACTGCATACAAAATAGAAGGGAATGTAGAGTGGAAGCCCTCTAGACTCTCAGGAAGGGCTTTTAACTCCTGAAATTATCTACTGGGATATTTCTAGGCTCCGTATTTTGCATAAAAATCCGCACTCTATACATAACTTCCGAAATTGTCTATTGATTTTTTATAAATGGTACCTAGTTTTACTAGGAATCGAAAATTCTTTTCGAAAAAAATGGTTTCCAAGTGGAAAAATAATAAAAATTTGTTATTCCAAAAATTTTACAAACATTTACAATGTACTCAAAAACCCTATTATTTCTTTAAATAGTACAAATATTCTTCTTTCCAAATCCATATAAAAACTTAAAATTGGGTAAAAAATAACCGAGCTAAAAATCATTTAGTGCGGGAAGTCATGTAAAAATGTTTTTTTAAGAATAAGTCGAGAATTTGAGGGTGTTACAAAAATTTTAAACACAGTTTCGTGAATTACTCGATCAGCCCTACGACTTGTACTAGGTCACTTAAAAAGTTCATGATCAGTGTAATACCGTGTTATTAAATCAATTGATAGAAAACGCCTTTCGGCAGCGGGCGGATTTATAATTGTATAAATCGCACGTTTAATCAAATGCAGATGTCACTCAAAATTTACGTTTTTGGATAATTCATTATGCAATTAATAAACTTAATAAACAGGGCTCGAATCGTAACATCCGTTCACGGATCGAAAACGATACGAAAGAAAATTACGTGATACGTCAGGCATTATAAGCTGAAAGGGACAAAGAGTACGTTCACGAATGTCATAATCCGGAAAATACGTTTTAACGTGGCGAGTAGTACGATATCGTATGTGACGATTCGAGCCCAGTATATCGATGGCTGAGTGGAGGATCGACCTATCTCGGCAGCCAGTTCGAAAACGCTCTATCTCAAAAAACTTTTCAAGAACGCCCTACTTCAGAATTTAATTGAAAAACACCTCACCTCAAAATGTATTGAAAATATGCTGATATAGGGCGTTTTTGAATCGACAGTTGAGATAGGGCATTTTTGAAACGAGTTCTGAAATAGGGCGTTCTTGAAAAGTTTTCTGAGATAGAGCGTTTTCGAACTGGCTGCCGAGATAGGTCGATCTTCCACTCAGCCATCGATATGTTCAGTCTAACAGATAACCAAACTTCCCAAATATGGGGAAGATGAGTGTCTTTCGAACCGTATGAAATGATAAAACTTTGATTGCGTTTTCCCACAAAACTTAAATTTTGAAATAATTCTTTATATTCTTAAACGTGCGAAATATCGAACAGCTAATTGCAACTTGCCAACTACCAGAAAAATTAGAACGCTAATAAAATAATTTGACACAAACAAAATACATGGAGAAAATCACCGAAGCTCGGTATCCAAAAATCAACACACTATTCGGAATTTCTATCAGGTTTTTGAAAATTCGGATAGTCAAACAATCCGGATAGAAACGCCAACGATAGTGGTCAATACGAGAAACAAGCGTGAGCTTAAAGTGAGTGCATTAGTTCGAGATGCGTACACGGAAACCACATATTTTGCAATTTCAATTGCATAACAGTAGAGTTAATCTCGTAAAAAATAACTTTCAAACTTGATTTCCCAAAATTTTCATTTTTACACTTTCATGTTCCTGGCATACGGGCGGCGACATGCTATTGTGCTCGGTTTGTATGCCAACATGCGAGGGGAGAGTGAAAAGTTTTGAGCCCTAAGCACCTTTAAGAGTCATTACATTAATGCCTTGTCCTGCGTGTCACTAATTGCTAATATCCGAATTTCATGTTATTAAACTCATTGCGCTTTTAGTTACCCGAGCCGTAAACATCGCCATGTGTGAGTCATCCGCGCATTGTTCACGACATTGGCTAATATAAACACATTTTTCCACTTTCTGACCACTTTTTCAAGGAACAAAAAATTTGGCTTACATTTGGATAATGCGATAAGGGCTCGGATGATGACACCAGCAACGGAAAATATTTCGCTAGAGTTTTTCAAATGAATTCTCATTATTCACTCCAGGTAATGACACTCGAATTACAGTTTAATAAATGAAAACTATATTGCATGAATGGCTTTGCTGAATTAGGTTATTTAGCTACTATAATTAAAATAAGATTTGGTTAAATTAAGAATAGACTATAAATAAAAAAAATTAAAAAGTTATTTACGTACTTCTACTACACATTATTTCGTCGTTACCAATGCAAAAGGGTATATACGACACTTTCTGTAAATTGTTTTTTTTTTTTTTTGTTTTATACTCCGATGCATCTAAATCAGCTACGTCCAACTCATACGCGCATTTACGCAATCACATTTTGCGCATGTGTTTTGAAAGCTCATCGATACAACCAAAACAATCTGTAAACGTAACACAGAGCTTTATTTTTACTAAGATAACGTAACTATGCGATGGAAATGGCAAAGAAAATAATAAATAAAATAAACATATGCGTTGGCAAATTGGAAAGTAATTACGGAGATTTGCTTTTATAAACGGAAGAACGCTGGTTAGGTCGCAGTAAATGTTTGGAAAGTTCTTTTTATTTAAGGAAGGAGATTCCACCCCAGCTAATGAGGAACTCATTACCGCTCTAAAAAAATGCAGATTTTAATCTAGATTTGATTTTTTTATGCGACTTAACCAGTATTTTCAATGAGCTCAATTTGCTTCTTCAAGGGAAAAACAAGCATATCTGTGAACTAGTTTCAACCGTCAATCGTTTTGGAAGAGAATTAAAAATATTAATAATAATATTTAAAAATCCCGCTGAAATTGTTGTAGATAATCAAAATACAGAAAAAGTTAATGACTATTGAAATTATTAAACGGCTATCCGGCAGGTTCTGCAATTCTCTTCCGAGTGAATTTCAACCAAAGCCACTTTGAATGCAGATTGAATGAGATTAAAATTCACACGGAAGTTAATTGCAGAATCTGTCTGTATATGATAACTACGAAAAAAGTTTCGAGGACTTCAATGCAATAAAAAGAAATATAGATTTTCATGATTATCCGCTTATATGCAATATAAGTGAATAAAACATTGAGTTATAATAAGAATTAAAAATGATGAGAGAAGATTTTGCAACTCCACAAACGGCTGGAGAGAAAAGAAGCTTTTGTACTGTCGTTAAGAGGCTGTCGGTGAGAAAGCTCAAAGCTCTTTTGTAAAAGCTCGCACTATGTGAATTTGAGTTGGACGTAGCTGATCTAAATTCAAAATTCAAAATTTATATCTTTAAAAATATGAGATTTATTGGAATCTTTAGAAGTGTTGAAAATGTTTTCTCTTATAGAAGATAATTTAGGTAGGCCATTAAGCCATTTTAAAAGGCCTACCGCTGTAATAGCTTCCTGAACGGCTTTTTCATTTGAAATTTACGTGAATGTGTAAGTTTATATTATTTAACATTACAAATGAGTTTTAATATGCATTTTAGATTTCAATAAAACATGAACCTTAAATACCTTAAACTATGATTATTATGAATTAACGAAACAGATTTATAAGAACTCCTCCAAAAGGCCTTCTGAAATACGTCCTACAAAGCGCTTCTCTGGGTAGCGAAAGCAGAAGGCTTTCAATTTGTACCACCAGGAATTCTTTCTACTTCTATAAAATTGCAAATTGGTCAATTATGCCCTTTTGCATTGGTGACCACAAGTTCTTATCTACGAATAAGTGAAATAAAAACAAAGGCGTTGCAAGCACCCCTTCCTGCTATTGTGGTGGTGGCTTTGGAATACATACGCATACCTCTGGAAGTGAATTACGACAGTCAGGAAACATAATTGTATGTATAAGATAACTACAACACACAAAGTCAGCCGGGGCGAGTGGTGTTAATTTGCCCTTTACTGCTTTTGTTTTTGCTTGAAATTCCATACAAGCAGTGAACTTGGTTTTATCTTATTATACGAGTCTTTATTATGTTTTTTGTTTAATATTTTCATTTTCTATGTTGGTACACTTGGCATATTTTTTTTAGTACTATCAATATTAGTCTAAATAGTTTAGGATATCACAGCTACTTTTTTGCTACTGATTTCTCAAAATTTGTTGTTTTGACTTATCAATTATTTGTACAAACTTTTTTACTCTTACAAGAAAGTATTTTTTTAATTTTATTTCAAAGAGAGATTGGACGTGTGGCGTGTTCCTTCCTTTTACTGCGTGTTTGTAACCTCTTTTCGGCAATTTTACATACGTACATATATCGACCGAGTAATCACAATTTGGAAACAGAACGAATTAGCGTTTAGAAAGGGTAGAATAGTGAACAAATACGAATGTCAAACGAGTAAAACAACTTTGGTTGAGCATAGTTTTTTAAAATGTTTATTTGATCACATTCAAAAATCTACTTAGTCTATTTCTTAAAATTTCTTTGAGTTAAATATTGTGCAATAGAAATAAAAAACAACGCAAAAGAGACTATCCAGAGTATGGAAAACGACCAACCACTGCCAAAGTGGCACTTGTAAACCAATGTAAAACAACGTGAGCTAACACAGCGAAGAGAGTACGCCTTAAAAATCGACATAGCAGTCAACAATCATTAAAATTTCGATCAGTTCAGAATTCCTTGAGATCATTAGCTTCAAATGAAATGATTGCCAAATGTTGGAGTCGGTATATAATGTCCAGACAGTTGGGTCTCGGACATCGTAATGACGTTTCCAAGACCATCCAGTCTACAATCGATACCCGAACGAAGATTTATTATATTCGGCCAAAGGTTTTCACACCAACAGCATTTCGCAAAAAATGTATGAGAATTGGTTTTTTGTACTTACGACAACAACAACCAAAACTTGTTACATTTACCTGCAGTGCCTGACAGCATTGCAACTCTACCTAAAGTGAGCATATTACCCAAAAATCCACACCTGTCCTCTTCTCTCTCTTTCGCACATTAACAATACATATTTCTCGTAAAAGCTGTGAAATAATGAGAAATTGGAAGCGTTTCTTACTTTTGTTTTCTACATTGGTAGCGGCGTTTTTACTGCTACTCTTCTCCACGTCCACGTCGTGCTCCGAATCGGTTGCGTGGCCCTTCAACTGAATTTTAGGTGGAAATATTGGCAACGCTCGCCTTTCATCCCGATCCGACAAACTGCTAGTACTGTTGACACCGCTGGCAGCGCTCTTACCAGCAATTTGTTCGTTTGGCGAACGACTGCGGGAGCGATGCTTGGTTGGTGACGAATGTGTACTATGTGTTTTGCGTTTCAGCTCCTTTTTTCGCGGCGACGATGTATCACTGCCGGGCAAGGACGTAGTTGAGGATTTACGCTTGAATGTTGTTGACAGTGGTGCAATCTCAAAAGCGTCTTTATCACATTTGCTGGTTGTTGACTTTTTACTGCTGCGGCTGCTGGACACATTTGCAGACATAGATGAAATGATTTTTTGTCGTTCAGAGGAGCTCGAGCCGCCTGATGATGTTGAACTCTTCGATTCGCTACGTTTACGATCTTTATCTTTGTCTTTATCACGTGATGAGCTGCCTTTGCGATGTCGCTCGCTGGCAGAAGAGGAGGAATGTCTGCTTTCCGAGCCCGAGCCACCACCAGCACTGCTGGAACCGTCATTACGATTGCTTTTGCTGCTGCTGCTGCCGCCACCATTGCGGTACGCCGTCGATGAGGACGACGATGACGACTTGCTATCGGACCTGTGCGAATCGTCTGCAGCGCGAGAAGAAGACTTTGATGCGCCACGCATCGATGTTATTGTTTCTTGTTGTTGTTGTTGCTGGCGGGCCAAGCGTGGATCTCGATGCCTAATAGTGTTCAATAGTGCGGGATTTACAGGGTGTACCTTCGGTTTGTTACTACTGCTTACAGGCGGGAAATTCTAGAAAAGCAAATAACATAATTAGTTAGAGGAAATGGCATGGAATTATAAGGCTCGAGTACCTGTGGCGGCATCGACATCATACCGACTGGCATATGCTGTTGTGGCTGTTGCGATCTCGGATGTTGAAAGTTGGGATGAAACAGCGGACCTGGTGGCATTGTAGGTCCACCAACCATCATTGAATGCGGAGCGCGTGGATGCATGTGATGTGGTGGCATTATACCGGGCGGCATTACGCCAGGTGGCATTATCTGCGGTGGCACACCAGGCATACGTAAGCCGACCACTGTGTTCGCTGCTTCTGGAGGCATGATCAGACCATTTGTCACCTTTGTCAGATGCTTATCTTGTTCTTCTAAACTCTTTTTCGTCGCCTCTAATTCCAGCTCGAGTTTACGCTTTTTCAATTCCAGCAATTCGCGAGTTTTAGCTTGTAGGATTTCCTCAACATCACTGGCTTGTACGTTGCCCTTAAAACAAAATTAAAAAAAAAAACTTTATATGTGCGCAGCATGAAAATAACATCATTACTGGCGTTTTCCTTTCTACCGAAAAATGTTACCTTTTCATTCTCTCCCAGCAAAAACACTAAGAACCGGGCAATGAAAAGGCAACATTTTTTGTAGGAACGAAAACGTCATAAGAGAATAATGAAGACATCGGTGCTATATATTTTTTTATATATTTATTTTTATTTTGCGAATGCGAATATGTACATGAGCAGAGAGTCCACTCTAATATTGTTGAAATGGCTCTAAAGGCCGGTCCACATAGACCTTTCGCGTTGGCTTTGGCGTTGGCGTTAGTTTGACATAACGCACGTTAAAAGTATGCTTGCTACAATGAACGCTTGACAGTGAATGCTTGGGCCACTAAATTAACATACTAACGACAGATAAATTAATATTTCATATCAATAATTGCATTAAAAACGGTATTTCTTGCCCCCACTTGATTAAAAAGGAAAAATATTTCACATAATTTTATTTATTTGCAACAGCTGACGAGCGACGCACGCGAAAATATGAGAGTTGGCCATCTTTTTGCTTTGTGTTGGCGTGAGCGTTGCCGAATTTGCCTATGTGGACGGCTGCATTTGAATTCATGTATTCATAGTCAGCTGTTGAAGCGACGTCAACGCCAACGCCAACGCAACGCCAAAGTTCTATGTGGACGGGCCTTAAATCTGTCTAACCAGCTTTTGGCTTCAGGCGCTAAACGGTTAAGTAGTATATCAAGCAAATTACTGGGCCTTCAACAAGTACTGCTCAAAGTCTTATAAGCAACCTAGATATAATTTAAGATTCCTCCAGCGAAAGCGAAGGCTCGGATGTAGAATCTGGAGACATTAAAAAATGTCAAATTAAATCTCATTTGAAGGTCTATCTTAAAGAAAAACGAGCTTATCTTGGCGAAAATCCTCGATTTGTGGAAAACTAAACTAAAATACGACTAATTGACAGATCTGGCCCGCAAATATTTGAGCGATCCACCCGCCAGCGTTCCAAGTGAGCAATTGTTTAGTGGAGCCGGCCTTATATTCGCGCCTCAAAGAAACTGCCTCATGGGAGAAAGGCAGCAAAATTACTTTTTTTGAAATATAATCTGCCTTTTTTGAACTTTGGCTACTAGATTAAAACACTGTATAGGTTAAGCACTCGTTAGTAGTGGGCATTTGCACATTTACACCGCAAGTTTCAACTGTCCTGCTCTGCATCCGTTTTGCACTAGTTCAGAGATAGTTCTAATATATGTAGTTTGTCAGACTGTCTCTAAGTTTTACTACAAGGTATATGTGACAAATACATTCAGGCAAGTAGGGGAAATTGGGAGACCAAAATGGCATTTCATTCTGATGAAAAGCCGCTAGCTTCTGCTGGAAAAATTTTTGTCAGCAGCCATTTGCCAGCAAGAAAAACAGCTGATCAAGTCATCTGTTTTCAATTTATGAAAATATGGAAATTTATTTTAGATTTAGTTCTAGATTTATTATTATGATTTTTAAGTTTGAAATAACTTGTTAGAACTGCAAATGTATCGGAAGAAAGCAAATACTCATTTGCTTTGCAAATTGCTTTAGGAAAACTTTTAATTTATATTCTTTTCGTGTTTTATGCTTTTGCATGTAAACAAAATTTCGATCAGCTGTACTAAAAACTTGCATGTTTTTGCTAGTTTTGCGTCCGCGTACTTTTGCTAACATTTCTCTCTTTGAGAGAGAACAGATAAAAATTCATTAGAATTTTGCTGCTGAGAGTTTTCTGCTGGAAGCATACGCATATGTAAAATAATTAGCACTTTATTGTTTTGGAATGTTTAGTTCAAACATATATTTCCATTTTTGGCTGAGTACAAATTTACTGATTAACCAGGTAAAAACGAATAAATAACTATAAGGACTTGCCCAAAATTGTAGTGATCTTTATATAATATTCGCAATGCTTTTCATTTGGTTTTTTTTCACCAGTTTTTTTTTTTTTATAAAAGTAGAGCTGACAACAAAACTATATAAATCCAAACTAAACTTTGTGCAAAAATTAAAAAAAAAAATCAACAAATTTTCATTAGAATTGCAAACTTTTAGCTAAAATTTCTATAAATACGCATGTAAAGCTAAATATATTATTTATAATTTAATTTATTATAAAATTCACAAAATTAAATGAAAACTCAAATCTCTGTGTAGTATTCCTTGAAGGAACCGCCACTGCGATTTGTTTCAATTTGGGGTGCCGTGGGAAAGCCGTATTATTCTCTCTCATCAAAATTATTTAGTACACATGAAAATACAAAACCACTTACTCGTACCGATGTCTTCAACCGATATTGATCTGAAGAAATATGATTTAGTTGTACTTACAGATTTCAGAAAATTCGGATTCACATGGATGGACGGTTGCGCTTGCTTTGCTGTAATTGGCCAATTATTGTCTATGCGCTTCACCTTTACGTCCAACGCATAGAGTTTTTGTGATGGGAACACTTCATTCCAAGTAAGCCGTAATGCATACATTCGCTCACGAACTTTCTCGTTAACCTTTGCAATTCGGAAACGTTTAAAAAAATTAATAATTTTTAAAACAGTTGAGTTAGAAAACAATTGTTGACAATTAAAGGTTAAAAGTACAGGGACAGCAACGGTTATGGGTTTTAACAATAAAAATGTTGATTTACATAGGTACATAGTTACTACCAGGGCTCGGATTTAATTTACCTAAAAACTATCAAAAAAACCTTAAAAAATAAGAAAATGCACTCCATAAAAAATGATTTAATTTTATGAACATTTAGAAAAATTTGTTTTTAAGGAAGGTTTAATTAAAGCGGTACCAAGAGAACAAAATTGTGGCAATTTGAATTTAAATTAATGGCGATGTATTTGCCCTCGAAATTTGTGTTCGGACGTCACTCAAATTTTGAGATGATCATATTTAATGTTTCATTATATTTTCATTCAATTTTCAAACTTTTTTCAAATATCAATTCACTGTATGCGGNGGACGTCACTCAAATTTTGAGATGATCATATTTAATGTTTCATTATATTTGCATTCAATTTTCAAACTTTTTTCAAATATCAATTCACTGTATGTCAGCCAGCACTGTCAATCCACTGGATTGGCCATCCACACGAAGCCAGTTGTACTCGCATAGGAGCACTAGATTGAAAATTAGACAGACAATCCAGTTGCTGGCATGAGTTTCTAGCTTGAATCAGTTCATGGCAGTTTCGGTTCTCGGATTTTCCCACCTACGATCCTTGTAAAAAGACACTCTCAGTTTCAGCTCCTTAAAAAGGGGTTGCACTAAAGTTTCCACCCTACCTATAAAATTGTATGAGTTAGGCGACTTTTTGAAATTTATTATTGTATGTACATATGTAAAATCAGAATATTTTGGACAAACGCGCATACATCGTCGTCTGGGTAAAAGATTGTCGTAAGCGCCATTTGACGATTTTTAGTTCTAGATCCAGTTATATATTTTGAAATAATGTCTTTCGATTGGTGTTATCAGTTTTTAGATATCTCCTTTAGTTTCCGAGATATTGACTACTACTTTTTCGATAATTTAGTAAACATTTATTTGGTGATGCAGTCATATTAAACTAATTAATAACTTAAAAATGGCGTTCTCCATTTTTGGATATCTTCTTTAGTTTCCGAGATATTGAGTAAAAAGTGTCGTTAATTTGGTAGAAATTTTGATCACATTTTGTCGTATTTCATACAAAGTGGCTGCCAAATTGTGGACAAATGACGCTTACGACAAAATTTTACTAAAGAAAATCCTTCATAAACTCAAAACTAATTAACAATAAACATTAAAAATTAAATAATTTAAGAATCTTCTGAACTAGTAACATTTTCAGAGACTTTGGAGAAAATCTATCTTCGCGTTTTTGAGAAATTGCATTCCAAACTTCAATCGCGATAATAAGATAATAATAATAACAAATACATTGGGGCTTACCAATATGTTAGTGTTTGTTTTGTTTTATGCTTAAAATTGCTTGTTTTAATTTTCATATTTGGTAGTTACTGTCTTATTATTATTTTTTGATCAAATATGCTTCCTAGGCAGGTTCTGCAATTCAATTCCGAGTGAATTTCAATCAAAGTAACTTTGAATTCAAATTGAATGGGATTGAAATTCACTCAGAAGTGAATCGCAGAACCTGCCTGATTACACTGTGCGACACTAAAGAATACCTGGGAAGTTATGTATGTATGTATATCTTCTGGTAGGTCTTTTCGAGTAAAACAAGAATCGAAATATGAAATTTGCCAAACACCCCTAAATCTAGATTTACTATTAGAATCCCGGTTTTTCGTACTTTTGCGCACTTATAAGCCTGTAACTTAGTTGATTATGAACCGAGTTCCAGTTTATTGCCGAGTTTAAAAAGAAGAAACTTAGGCCTTTTAAATGATTTATATGTGAATAAAGAAACCTTAACAGATCTTTGTGTATTTACCCAGCAAACACATTTTTGTTTTACTTTTTTCGCCTTTTTTCATTTTTGGTGAGGTTTTTACGCACTATTTTTTAAGAAAACCATACTAGTCTTAAATTGATTGTAAAACTAAATTTAATAACGAGTAAAATGAGTATTTATTTTCAAAAATCGGATGAAAGATAACTGAGTTATTAAACTTTTTATGAAAACAATTTTTTTGCAAAAATATTATTTTTGGCTATACATTGTACACTAGTGCAAATAAATTTATTATTTTTTGGTAACAAATAAAACCTTCAGAGCGATTATTTTCTGTCCCTGTAAAAATCGAATTTTTCCAATTAGTTGTCAACAACTGTAGAATTTTTATGTTGGTTTTCTCGTTATGCATGCTTACCTTTTCGAAGACATCGCAAAATATGTTCACTATACATTGACTGAAGAGATGAATATATGTGCTTTTAACATTTTTCACGATAGAATCTATTAAATATAGCAAAGGCAACTTTATATCTGGCGGTACCTGTTGAATTAGAACAGTGGGAATAAACGAAAGAATGAATTTAAAACAAACTGCAACAAATTGACGCCTAACTGTTGTAGAGAGACACCAGACTAGCCGACGTGCCTAGAGCAGCAGCTCGGCCCAAATCAGCAAAGTTACAACGACATTTTTTTATAATCCTTGCTAAATGAAATAACTTTTAAAAATTAATATTTTCGTTCTAAAAACTGTACTAACAAATTTTTAATTGTGATCCCTACGGAATCTGAAATTTTTTCACCTATATGATGGTGTATCTAATTACAACTACACCAAATAGAATTCATCTGCAGCAATGATTTGTGTCAGTTTAATTAGTCCTGCACTAATTTTTGTTAAATAGATTTAGGGCAAGCATTAGCTACAACAAATAGTTTCACGAAATAAAAGACAATTAAAAACAACTGCTCTTTGAAACATAATTTTATTAACTGTAGTTTTTATGTTAGTATTTTTATTTTCTTTTTAAAAAGATAGTTGGCATTATTTATCATTGTTTTCTTTCAGCCACATCCGGTGGGGCAGACGTAAACGATGAACCTGGAAATAATTTTATAAAAGTCTCTTGGAAACAATTCCAAGGTATAAGCATGCAAATGAAAATGTTTTTTACAAACTATCTTAAGTAGAATAGCACATTCCGGGCATAACGAGCTACATTTTTTGCTTATGACGCATAACTGATTAAAATGTAGAATTAAATTTTTTGTTTCCTGAGATTCTATCAAAATTATGTCCCCATATTTGTATTGCAAAAATATATTATTACCGCCCCTCTAGAATGAACTAACAATAATAATTGAAATTGCAAAAGCAACAACAGTTCAAGTGCCAGATGTTATAGCTGTTATTTCGGAGTATAAAACTTAAAAATGACTCCAACTATCCACACGCTAAGAATTCCACAATCGGTGAACTTGCCAAAAAGATGAAACTATTTCGTTAGTATTCATTCATTACGGGATCGAATTGGCGTTAATTGAGTGCTTCGAAAGCAGTACATACTATATTTCGGGTTTGGGTCTGGAGTTGAAAGAAGTATACGCTATTAATCTTATGTGCGGAGTAAAATTTACATAGGAATTCCCGAAACCGAAGAATCGTAATCCTTGGTCCTAACTATGTGGCTCTCAATGCTCTTTCATCTGTTGATGTTAACCCATTAATGACGAAACCCCAAATTTTTTATTTTGGGCTTCACTGGATGCACAAAATTAAACGCGACTACTCTATTCTACCAACTGACATAAACTGAATTACGAACGGCACAAAACGTTTAAAGCATTCCTCCAAAAGACATTTGCAATTGTATAAACATCAATGTAATTCAATTTTATTTTTTATTTACCTAAATTCAAACAGTGGCTAACAAAATTTTGCGGCAGGCCTCTTGAAGACTGACTCCATTATAACTGGTTATTTTACTTAAGAGCTAAGAAATATTTAAAAAAATGCATTTTGGACATCTTGAATTCCAAATGTCTCAAAAAAATCCATCCGCATAATTGAAAGGCCGGATTCGCATTCTGAGAAATAAAATATTATAAGCTGCAGTGCTTGTCAGAATTTTGTTGGGCTTTATAGACATTAGTCCTTGTTGAGTGCATAGAAAAACTTAGCTCTCTTGACAAACACAAAGATATTTCGTACTGTGCCACAAAATAATAGAGACGAGATAGCGGCTAGATTATCTAGCAAGGGGCTGGAGCCAGAAATCCAATTGGTTTCTAGTGTTTCAAAGAAGAGCTCAGAAAGAAGAGAAGAGCAATGAGAAAGAACCACACTAACAGATGTAGATCAAGAATGGAGAGGAAGGCCTCCTCCGCGATAAAAAAACAAGCATAGAAGGATTTGGCTTCACTTGGCATTTCCAATGGCGTCAGTTGACAGAGAAGAGATATGACTGGCGCGCTTTGTTGGACTCGGCCGGAATCGCTTAGGCGGTTAAGATCATGGATCAAGAATAAGATGAACTTAAAAAAATTATATACAGGCAGGTTGCAAAAATTTGAATTCAATATGACTTTGATGGAAATTCACTCGGAAGTGAATTACAGAAACTTCCTGATATTCTAATTTTTCCAATTATCTAAACCGGCCATCTACATTTGTTTAAGACTTTAGAATAAATCCGTAATGTTATATGTATTACGAAATTTTGTATAATATTTTTCATTCAATTGATATTTCGTTGTGCTAAAAAAGAAGAAACTCTTTTTGAACTAATGGTTCTTCTTTAATAAATGAAAACAGTGCCACGGCAAGGATTGCTGGAATGAGTTTGAATTTGAAAAGAGCAAAAAACAAATTTTACAAATATGTATTGTTTTTATTCCAAATGGTAGACTTCATCCAGAAACTCCGGCCTTAGTCCACTCGAAAGCATTTGGCCTGTATAGGTTATAAAGCGTTATGAATAAATAAAAAATTGATTTACCTACATTGATTAACAGAAACAAGACTTTCCTTTGGCGTATTCCACGACCTATTAGGTACGGATTTTGTCAGGTCTCAGCGTTTGAGTGACCAAGGAGATTATGCTTATAGAACGGAATGAGGGGGCCGTGACAATATGTCAAACACGTTTGTCTAAATGCACTTGTGTTCTCTACATTGAGTTAAGAATCCGCCGGCATACTGTTGTTACTTTTACCATTTCTATTTGATGGCGATTCCTTACACTTTGACTACTCATCTACATACTTTTCTATCTTGATTATGCTTTTGTGTTTAAATGGTTAATCTCACAGTTTTTAGTTGTATTTCGATATCTGAGACCTCCCAAAATAAACGAAAGCACCCTTATAAAAATACGCAATATAAGTTCAATTTCATATAAAATCATCCACTTCTTGTCTGAGAACTGTATCTACACTGCACGTGAAATCCACAATATGCCCGGTAGGCTATGTCAGACTTGTAAATGTCAAAAGTGGGCAAACCAATATATATCACTCGTTTTAAACTATAATGTTGTTGTTTTTTTTTTAACTTATTTTAAATTCATAGAAAAATGTGTTAACCTTAGCGATGTGTTGCTCAACCACTTTGACTATAATTGGTGCACAAGCGATGTTTTCCTCTGCTAACATAGTTAACATATTTATTAATGGTTTACTGTTGCAAGTAAGATCGGATAAGCTGGAGAGATATTCTTCTGCGACACGTGCTTCATTTTCATCTTGAGTTTTCACAGATACTTCCATTTTGAGTGATTGCCTGAAATAAATTAGAGATGTTTATTACACGAAATGCTTTTACGAATATGCAGATTATTCATTTTAAATAAGTATTTCAGCGCAAAATATCCACACACACACATAACACATACCAATTTTTGTATTATTATTATTATTATTATTATTATACAAAAAGATAGGTGATGAATCACCAGGTTACATTAATACGTAGGAGCACTAGTAGCAAAGACCTTCGGGTCTCTTATAACTAGTTGATGCTTTATATTTAACTCTTTCGTTAAACTAGGTTCATATAAGTTTTCTTAGATTTGGAATATTATTTAATTTTTTTAAATTAAATATTGAGCATTCTGACGCCATGCGGGTTCACTAGTTTTTATTCTTTTTTAATTAAAAGGGACACCTTACAAACATATATTTTCCACAGCCGCTAAAAATTCTTGGTATTGTGAAGGATGTAATTGTAAATGATTTTTCAAGCTTGTTTGTTTTTTCTTCAATTGCCAGGGAAAGCTCTTTCTGGCCCACATTGCAAATCGCAGTTGACTTTTTTCTGTTGCAAAAACTGCCAAATAGTGCCCATGTTTCTACAAAATCACAGCAAAACCCAATTGTACTACTTTTACGTATTTTTTTTTTTTTTAATATAGAGCTCGTACATTTTCAAAAGTGTTATGTAGAGATGCGAAACAACAAAATTTTAACAATTGTCGTAAAATAATGTAACTTCGTTACAAATACAACACCTTGTGCATTGCCTAATTGTTCGGCCGAAGCCGAAGATAAAAACTCAGCCGAATAGGCTGAATACCGAAACCAGGCCGAACCTTCGGTCGGACACCAATATGTATGTAACTATGTAGATATGCATATAAATATGGTGAATATTATATTAGGGCAGCATTTAAATCAACAAATAAAATTTATTTATATATATAAGCATAGATCAGAGGTTCCAAAACTTTTTTCTCGTAGACCCCTTACAAAACTTTACTGGCTTCGGTAAACTCCCTGCTGCTATATATTTTACATATTTATTCTCAAAGCTCGTCAAAATATGTGAAGATCATATCTAACGATGTTAATTTGCATAGTGAGTTCCAAAACCAAACTCGGAGTGGAAAAAATAAAATATTTTCTTGTGTTCTATTTATTAAAATAATGAGATTACACACTTGCAAGTTAAAAAAAAGAGCTCGTAAAGCCAACAAAGTACTTCCCGCTCTGAGGAGTTATATTTTTTAAGAGCACTCCGAGCGCTAACGTTATTTACATTCTCTTCACCATAAACTCCTCACATGTTCGGCTCACTCATGAATTCGCATGTGGCGTATTTGTAAATAAATATTTCTGTTGATGGTATCATTTTTATTTTTATCGCTCTGTGTTTAAAGTGACGCGAAAGATTTTTAGGCCAAACTTGCTTGGTAGTGCTATAACTGGTTGCGGCTCGAGGAATGCCTGGTCTAGGCCAACTGTGGCCAAATGGTCAGATGTCTCATTACCAGGTACTCCCGAATGACCTGGCACCCATAATTATGCTCGTTATGTTTGCCAACAAAATGTATTCGAGACTTGCATTGCCGAACTAGTTTGGAAGTACTTAGAGAGAGGGCTGGACGATGCCTTAAACGCAGCTTGGCTGTCACTGCAGACACGTAAACTACTACTTCCACTCCACCTATTTTCCACCACGTAGTTCACAGCTTCGAGGATTTCAAATACCTCAGCCTGGAGGACCGAAGCGTATTCCCCAAGAGAAAAGTGGAGCTTATCCCCACTAACTTCGAAAAGGACCCCAGATCCTGACCCAGAGACAGAGACAGAACATTCGACAATTTCTGAGTCCGGCCTCAGTAATGGAATTAAACCAGCATTCAGCCTCAGGGAACTCAACGTTATAGAATCTCTTCAATAAAGGTAATGGTGGCCAGAAATTTCCGTCTGGAATTGGAAATGCCAAGTGAAGCTAAGCCCTTCTCCACCTGGTCTTTCCATCTCAGTGGGGGCCTCCCTCTTCCTCTGCTACCACCAGCGGGATCCGAGTTGAATACTTTCAGAGCTGGAGCGTCGGTGTCCATTCGAACGAAGCGAGCGGAGCCGCTGTATTTTAATTCGCTGCGCTATGTGCATGTCGTTGTAAAGCTCATACATCGTTCCATTGTCTGCGGTACTCGCCGTCGGCAACGCGTAAAAGACCGTGAAACTTCCGCAAAATCTTTCTCTCGAATACTCCAAGAGCCACCAAGAAGTACGCTGTAAAAATGTGTGAATGGAAACACCAAAACTGTAGAAGTTACTAGTACATAAAGGCTGACTTCCAAAACGTCAATTGCATTGCATACATACGTACAAAGTTGAATGTTCCATAACGCCGCACTACAATTGGTTGACAATGTACACGCATCAGAAACAAAGTTGATGCATCGTTTGTTTTTGGTTACCATTGGTGTTTTAAAAATGGAAAATTCCGAAATGGTGATCATTGTTTTATGAAATATTCAAAATATGCAATGTATATGGTTGGAATGTTTCGCAACTCTGCATATACAAACAGTTTAAATACCGCAGTAGAACACTATCCAAACATTGTATTGGTACATTTTGGAAGTCAGCCAAACTTTCAATATTTATAAGCGTGCGTCGGTCGTCAGCTGTTAAATAAATAAAATTATGTGAATTATTTTTTCCTTCTAATCAAATGAGGGCAAGAAATATCATTTTTCATACAACTATTGATATGAAATATTAAGTTATCTGTCGTTAATATGATAATTTAGTGGCCAAAGCATTCTCTTGCAAGCTTTATTGTAGAAAGCATATTTTTAACGTGCGTATGTATGTAGGTATCTAGATAAGCTGTCAAAATAGCACGCATCTATTCTTCTGGGCATGAGAATATATACATAAATAAATACATACGTATGTGTATATAGTATGTATATTAGGGTGCCCATCGAAAATGCTTTTTTGGAAATTTAAAGACCCTACTCCCTAATTTTATTCGTTTTTATGAGAAATATTATTGTCTGTTTTTTAGATTTTTTAAAACTTATTTAGAGGTCCTGTCGATTTATGTCAGAAAATGGGATTTGGGTAAATTTATGAGTTTTTGAATGACTATTTTTGATTCGATTTCTAAGATCGAATATGATCTCAGAAGAGGATATATGTATATATATGCCTTTAAAATGGTATATAATAATCTATTGTCGGATTAGGCTTGTTGGGATTCTTTATCGGGTAAATTAAAAAAATACCCATATTTCTCTTATTTTTTTAAAAGTTGACCATCGGTAATTACTACAATTCCAAAATATGGAGTACTATCTAAAATTAAATATATTTTCAAATAAACGTTAGTCCTGATTTGTTGCAATCGCATAAAAATTGTCGAATTTGGGCGACTTTTCTTAACTGCGGCCTTGAATTTATATGTTTGTATGTACCGGAATTTCAGATTCTTTGAGCAGTGTGGCTAAGGTTGAAGTCAGATAGGAAGCGAGAAGCGATTTGAAGCTGGAAGCGATAATAGTTCAAGCGAGAAGCAATGCTCTAAGGCAGACCTGGGCGGCGCCTGCCCGGCGGGCATATTCTGCTTTAGAAGGCAGCGAAAGCTTCATTCAACCGCACGACTTGTTCGCACGCACACAGTGACATCAATTTTTAGCACACTACAAAAATTCTCTGTCGAAGCTGCCCACCTCTGCTCTAAAGGCGGATTCACCGTTCCTGTCCGGACACTTTTTGTTAGTAATTTTACGCGTTCCTTTCCCAACTTGTCTCACTGAGAGTGCGACAAAAATGTGCTGAACACTCTTTGTTCGAATCAAATTGATTTTGATTTTCTGTCGGAACGACTTGATGATTCGGGTTGCCGCGTTCTCCTTAATATGCGTTTGCAGTGAATTGAATGTGTTATTTGCCCTAAAAATCGTATGTAGGCAACAATATCATCAGCTGTTTGCTTCAGAACAAAATAAAATGTGCCGAACTGAACGGTGAAACGTACTTCAGCACCCTCTCCGGCAAAAATGTTTTGAGAGCGAATAAAAAGTTGTCCGGACACGAACGGTGAACCCGCCTTAAGGTGTCAAAGTGAAAGCGGCAAAGCGAAGCAAGCTGCTGCATTCGTTTTCGTTCAGCGTGAACGATGGATTCCGACGAGGAGACTTTTATTTCGATGGGTGTATTTAAGACTTTTTTTGAAAAAAGAAAAGTTGGAATACATCCAATTAACCAGCCAAGGAAATCAAAAAGTGAGTTCAATTTATATTTGAAACTACGCCATAATCCGGACAAATTTTATAACTATACAGAATGTCAGTAGCGACATTTGACTATATTCTAAATAAAATCGATTCGACAATGTGTATACCAAATTTGGTCGAGATCGGGCAAGTAGTTTTTGAGGTACGCATATATCATATAAGTGGGCGGTGTCACCACCATTTTCTTAACATTTCTTGGAAACACACTTTTTTGCTGAAGATCGATTGTATGTATCAATTTTGAATAAATATTGATGAACTCTTTAGCCACACTGCTCAAAAGAACTGAAATTCCGGTACATACACATATATATCGTCGTTCAAAGTACAAAACCGCTTATCAACAAAAACCGCGTATGAGGTTGCATTAATTATTTTCTAGAGAGTAAAATCACTCATATTTCAAAATGGTTCTTTATTTTATAAAGCAATCGCATTTCTGGCTAGTATATTTCAGGACGAATGCATAAGGATTGCGCCAAGAGCTGGTGTGAGCAAATCCAATTTTTGGCAGCCAATGTAAGTTACGCGGTTTTGCAGAATGACGATACGCGGTTTTGTACTTTAAACGCGAATACTAAATTTTACGCGTAGTACGTATTTTGATACATTACAAAGAGAAAATATATACGTATGTAAGCAGCGGCAGCTTCTAAAATTTGATAGAAAGCATTAAACTTTTTCGGGTCAAATAAGCTTAAAGAAAAATACTTAAAATGAACTATTCGGCTTTGCGGCGGAAATTTTAATTGATCCAA